TCTGTATGACGAGGCTGGTCTTTCTTTTTGTAATACGTCGGCGGCGGCGTCGGCGTAGGCGTCGGCGTCGGCGCCGTGGTCGTCGTCGGTCACCGCCGCCAGCTGCCGCCGCCATCCCCTGTTGGTTCGTTGTTGTTTTTAGTCTCCAGGGGCTGCTTCTCGTCCACGGGACAGGGTGTAGGTCCAGCCCTGGGGGCAGTTGCCACGTCGGATCTACAGTCGGACCGAGTTATACAATCGAGGTGTGTTCGGGGAGACTATTCTTGTGTGTTTCGTGTCTGTTGGATGTTCTTGTGCATCCTGGGGGAGGGTACCCTTGGGTGTTCTGTTTGTTTTGGCCGGCGGAGGGTCTCATGGTCTTGAAGGAAGTTCTGTGGCCTTCCGTAGCTTTTGGCTTGACTTCGGCGCATTACTGTCGCTCTTCACGTGCATATACACACCACCGTTTGAGACTGGACCTGCGTAGTTGCTTCTCACTCGGACCTCAGGCAGTTGGGATGGCGGCGGCCAGGAGTGCACCATGGATCATGTACGTAGCGCTACTGGTTCAGGGCGTATCGAACGCGACGTCCATGATGGTGAGCGAGGGCATCCATCGCGACATCGACCCGTACAACGCCTCGCGCACTAGTGTGACAGTATGAAGGAAGTGCATGAAGTGCAGGAGGTGAGCGGGATGCCCGCGCAGCGTTCAGCTGGTTCTCTATCTTACAACCTTGGAGGAGTCAGCCATTGTTGCGCTTGCGGTTGGAATAGTTGGTGGACCTCGGCGACAATTAGTGAACAAATCACGACGATCAGTCTTAGTGGCTATTGGAGAGACCAGGGATATGGTAATTCCAAAGGCTATATCGGTGTTGTGGTGGGGTCGGAGTCGTACAACCATGGTGTGGCACCCATTCCAGATCGTGGTTCACGTTCACCTGGACATTGCCCGCGCCCGCGACAGCTGGCAGTCAAATAGTGCTCTCATACAACGTTGGGTATGGAGGCGGGCACTGTCTTTACGTCGATTCTGGCGCGACCCTGAGTGTGACCACTGCGACGCCGAACCCGACGCCCTACCCGACGCCCTACCCGACGCCTTACCCTACGCCTTACCCTACGCCCTACCCGACGCCCTACCCGACGCCGAACCCGACGCCGAACCCTACGCCCTACCCTACGCTTTACCCGACGCCCTACCCGACGCCGAACCCGACGCCGAACCCGACGCCGAACCCTACGCCCTACCCGACGCCCTACCCGACGCCCTACCCGACGCCGAACCCGACGCCGAACCCGACGCCGAACCCGACGCCCTTCCCGACGCCCTTCCCGACGCCGTTTCCGACGCCGTTCCCGACGCCCTACCCGACGGTTTTCCCGACGCCTTTCCCGACGCCCTTCCCGACGCCCTTCCCGACGCCCTTCCCGACAGCTTTCCCGACGCCCAGCCCGACCCCCAGCCCGACGTATCCTCCGGGCTGGCCGACGCCACATCCGACGTTTCTTCCCGGAGCTCCCATGGCTGGTGGAGCTGGCGCAGGCGTGGTTGCCACTGGCGACCCCCACGTTCAGAACGTTCTTGGTCAGCGGTTCGACTTGATGAAACCAGGAAAGCATGTTCTGATTAACATCCCCCGTGGAAGGCGTTCCAATGTAATGCTTCGCGTGGAGGCTGAGGCGCGTCAATTTGGAGGGCAGTGCGCAGACATGTATTTCCACGAGTTGAATATCACGGGTGCGTGGGTGGAGGCGAAGGGAACCGACGGTCTCCTTTTCACAGCTGAGGGTGCGCGCGACGAGCATCCACAGTGGTTGAAGTTCGGGGGCGTAGAACTGAAAGTCGCCCATGGGCGCACTGATCAGGGCGCCTTGTACTTGAACTTCTACGTCAAGCATCTTGTGCGCGGTGGGTTTGCCGTCGGAGGCTTGCTAGGAGAGGATGACCACACCGAGGCATCGATGCCTTCGGAGGCGTGCGTTCACCGCGCAGTCCTTTTGGAGATTGCGGCTCGGAGTCATGAATATACAGGCGCCTTCTTGACTGCAGAGGCAACCTTCTAATTTCTAATGATGACATGCGTGCGGGGTGAGGGCAATGCGGCACGTGTGCACAAACGATGTTTCTGTTCCTGGCGTGAGGAAAAATGATGGTCTTCTGGCCTGGGTCCGACTGTACAACCAATTGCGAAACTTACCTCTGCGGGTCCAATCGACATAGGGGGTATCGGACACTCCCGCTGGAGCCCCAGCCCGCGTTTCAGAAATCTGACCTGCAGGCCTGCAAGGGTTGGCGGTTCGGATGTGGCTTCTCGTCGGAGGAGAGTGTCGCTGGGCGACACGAAGCAGCTGCAACGTGGGAGCCAGGCATGCGATGCCATACTTTTTGCAATCCGCGGTCCCCAGACGTCCCGACCTTTCCCCTGGGACCGGCTTCTCATCCCGGGTCGTCTTGTAACGGTCATGGGGCGAGGCGAGGCAAGATTGAACTCTGGATCCTGATGCGGGCTCTGATTTCTCCGTGGAGGCCCACTGGACGGCTGATTTCCGCCGGTTCGACTCTTCTCGACTCCGCTGTCGATTTCCTCCGATGCGGTTCATTTCGATCGCCGCTCCGACTTGTCGACTCGATCCTGGGCTATCCTGCGTGGGGAGGCGGGGTGGGAGGGAGGCGGGCTACTGGCATTCGTGGACTAGTCCTGGGGTGGGGGACGGGGTTGAAGGACGAGGCGGCCGAGAGCCTCGACATACTGAGAGCCTCGACATTCAGCGCGCGAGCCTTCGGCGATCAGAAGCAGGAGGGGGAGCAGGAGATGTCCTACCTTCTCTGTGGTCTCCCCCCCGCGAAGATTTGCCATCACGCGAATCGCCGCGCGCCTGATGCGAGAAAATCCAGTGTGTGTCCCTGATGTCCTTGGCCACGTCGGCCTCCGGTCAGCTTGAGTGGTGTTCTTGGTTCGCCTGGCAACCTTTTGTTTTGAATTCCAGTTGACGCCGCGTTTTGCGGGTATTTGTCGTCGCGCTCCCAGCCTCTTTTTCCTCGCAACAAAAAAAGAAGCGTTAAGTCGGGCGTGTCCTTCTACACGAGGAATATTCAAAAACAGTCAAAATATAGCCTGGACAGGATTTTTGGAATATGTTTGATCAGTTGGGGGTATGCTTTTACTATTTCGAAATTGTCGCCCAAAATCCGCCTGTAGGGGGACATGCCTGGCCTAAAAGAAGCGGGAGGGCGATACTACACGCACAATAACAAGCACGAGCGGTCCCCACCCGAGAACGCGAATCGTGATATCCAGTGGGGAGCACCCGGGGCCCTTTGGGGCCTGGCGGCCGCGGTGTGCAGTCGCCATGACGTCGAAGGTGAGATGCGGGATGCCCAGGGAGCACCAGGAGCCTTGTGGGCCTCGCGGCGGCGGTATGAGGGGTTTGCGAGTCGGGTCGGGAGCTCTTCCCCTCAGAGTTCGGCGGCAAGCGAGGCGCAGTGAGAAGGAGAAGCCCTTCTCAGAAGGCGGCGGGACTTCTCAGAAGCCCTCGCGCCGCCTGAGAAGCTCCCCGCGTCCCCCGGGAAGGCTTAGAAACTTCCTCGGAAGGCCGGAGGACTCCCGAGCCTTCTGAGGAGGCCTGCTCCTTCTGCCTTCCCCCCCTCGCTCGCCGCCAATCAGTCTACAGTCAACCCGCAAGGTAAGGATGGGCTTGCTTCCCAAGGGTACCCTTGCATCCTTGCCTTCTCGCTCCATCCTTGGCCACTCTCGTTGGCCGCGTCCCGCTAAAAAAACTTCGAAATGGGCGCCCACGGCCCGTTTATCCCTAACTGCATGTCTGCGATCATGAAGACTCCCCCCCTTAACCCCTGCGCCATGATCATCCTTGGGAGACTCATATTTGATATGCGGGCGGAGCGGCAAGACCGACCTTATTATCACCAGTGAAAAACGAATCGTACACTGAATCATATTATCATGAATTTTCCTTTGTTATCACCATCACCATCTCTTGTTATCGTCATCGCCCTCTCGTAGACCTCCATTCTGGCACACCCCTCACACCCCCATACGAATCGCGGTCAGCATAGGACTTCTCTCCCTCCCTCTCGTCTTCCCTCCGTGCCCTCGCTGGTATTGAATATCAGTCCCTATCAGTTCCTAAGGGCAACCATGAGTATTCGCTCCTACACGACGGGAAGAAAACAACAAACAATTGCTCAGCCCAACAACTAAAAGTTGATAGGTCCGACTAGTTGGTGTTTCTTGTCATCTCCTCCTCCTCCCTCTCCTCGTCCTTCTCCTCCTCCTCCTTTCCTTTGTCCACCCCTCCTTCTCTTCATTTCCCTTGTTTCTCTTAATGTAATTCCTTCTCTTCTCTGTTTCCTCCTCCTTCTACTACCCCTCCCTCCCTTCCACCCTCCGCGCCACAGTTGAACCGTTGTATCGCCGTCATTTTGTATCACTCTTGAGTACTCCTACACGACGGGTCGATCAGCACCACAGCCAGTCCAGGGAAGGCCCCGCCGGAACCAAGAACGAGCAGGATGTCTCACTCCCCGTGCTCTTACATCAGTATACCGTACATGCCTGTATGCGATTTGCCGGGGAAATCTTTTTTATCCCCCCCTGGGCCCCGAATTTGATTGTCGCCATGGTGTGATTATCATGTGCACACGGATGAGGAGGAGGAGAAGGAGGAGGAGGAGGAGGCGAGTCAGCGCAGCACAGCACAGAGAGATGGGCGGCGCCCGCGGGGAGCGGGGCAGCAGCGGAGGGATAGTCAAGAGGCAACGTTCGGGAGGGGGGCGGACAGGCTCAGGGGGATGCATCGATGCCAGATCGACCACCCCGCCCAGGAGCGTTCGGATTCGCTGTAGCGATGGCCCTTCGCCGATCTATCGGCGATGTATCGCCGCATCCAGGTCGACGTTCCCCCCCCCCCCTCACCTGGTCCCTCCTCCACGTTGCCCCTCAGGGGAGCAGACGGGAGGTCTTCTCTGGATCCCCTTTGGGCCTGCTCCGTCGCAGGGCTCCGACGTTCCGGACGAGGTGGCCGCCGCGATCTGGGGCCTGTGGTGGAGGCAGCCTCTCAGCCTCCCCATGGGAAGACGAGGAGGAGAGAGAGGAGGACGAGAGCGATCTCAGGTCTTATTTCTCTTCCCCATTCCTGCCTCCCTCCATCACCCCCCCGCCTCCCTCCGCCCCATCCTGCCCGCCCCACCTCCTCACTTATGCTCCCCTGCCCCCCCCTTCATTCCCTCCTTCCCCCCATCCCCGCCCCCCTTCTCCCCCTTCTCCCCCTCCTCCCTCAAACTGCCAGCTCGGCCCGATTTGGGGCTGCCGAGCCGATGGCTCGCCGTCCCGCGCCGCGCGTCGTCGTGCCGCTCTCTCGGGGCCGCGAGGACATGAAGGAGAAGGAGGAGGCCTCCTCCTCCTCCTCCTCCTCCTCCTCCTCCTCCTCCTCCTCCTCCTCCTCCTCCTCCTCCTCCTCCTCCTCCTCCTCTCTCGAGCCCTCGTCGGCAGCCCGCAGCGTGCCCGCTGCCCGACGCGGGCGACCGCCCGGCGCTGCGCGCAGCACGCGCGGGCGCAGGACCGTGGAGCGCTCCACCTGCTGTTAAGTCAGGGGTGGACAGAACCCCCAACAGTGACACGTCGATTAGTGAATTGTCCGTTTTCGGTTCTCGAGAGGGCGCCGTGGCCGTTATTTTCCAGGCTTGCGCCCGCCAGGTTTGGGCCTCAGGTCGCTTTCACTAAACCACGTTCTGCTAAAGGGGGTCTGTCCATCCCCGAGTTAAGTCGGGCCTGTCCCTCCACCGGGGGAATATTCGAACATAGTCAAACACATTACCCCGGTGCGACCCTACCTAGGAGTTTGAGCCCCTCGGAAAGCAGCATTAGTTGCTATGCTATGCTATGCCATGCTATGCTGCGCTATGCTGCGTTATGGTATGCTATGATATACTATGCTATGCGATGCTGCGTTTTGCTATGCGAAGCTATGCTATGCCATGTCATGCTGCGCTATGTCAAACTATGCTATGCTATGATAAGCTGCGCTATGATATGATATGAGATGATATGCTGCGCTATGCTATGCTATGCTAAGCTAAGTTGACCCTCTAGGCAGAGCCTAGGTAGGGAATTACACCCATGCTAATGTTTTGCCTTTCCTTTGCTTTGATGTTGTTTTTGATTTGCTTTGATTTGCGTTGCTTGTGCTTTGCTTTGCTGTCGCTGCTGTTGATGTGCCTTTGCTTTGCTGCTGTGCTATACTCTGCTATGCTATGCTATGCTATGCTATGCTGCGCGGTGCTATGCTGTGCTGTGCTGTGTTGCGCTATGCTGTGCCATGCTACGCTATGCTGCGCTATGCTGTGCTATGCTGGGCTTTGCTATGATATGCTGTGCTGCGCTGTGCTGTGCTACGCTCTGCTATGCTGTGTTCTGCTACGCTAGAGCTCGGCGAAGCTAAGATGAAGGTAAGCAAAGCTAAGATAAACCTGAACTAATATGAAGCTAATCTAACCTATGATGAATCAGCTAAGCTAAGATGAGATAAGCAACGCTGAGCTAAGGGGACGTCACTGGGGGAACCACGGGGCGGATGCCGGGGGAACCGCCCGGGGCGGGTTGCATTGCCCGGCCCTTTACGCAAACAGGGTAAGAACCTTTCTAGGCAGAGCCTAGTAGGGAAATAGTCAGGGGACTCATTTGTTTTTAAAATGTTGCTACGATTCGAGAGGTATGTTTGGGCAATCTTTTATTTTTCACCCAAAATCCCCCTGTAAGGGGGACGCGCCCGACTTAAAACTATGGGCTTGGCCTCGCTCGGACGTGTCCGTTTTCCTTGACGAGGTCCATGGAGGAGCATCCAGGGTCTCCTTGTGAAGACGTGCGCGCGCGAAGTCGAAACATGCACGGGAACTGGGTGCCCGCGCAATGGCCAGCGGAAGGCCTTCGACGAGGTCGTGGGCCACCGTGGCCAGCAGCTCCACGTCCTCGGCAGGGCGCTTGGAAGGGGCGCTTGGCGGCTGCCCGGCCCGGGTGGGGGGCCCGCCGATGTGTTGATGCATGTGCTCGGCCCGCGGGCTCCCTGCCACACGATGATAGTGATGGAGGCTACTGGAGGGATGCACCTCCTCCGTCAGCACGGAGATGGGGTCGGACAGGGCTAGTACGAGGATGCAACCCCGGCACGAACGAAATGGGTACAGAAAGATTGGGTACAATGCCCAACAGCAGTTCTTCTTCATTTTGAACAGGACTCGCTGTCCGCGCCGCCGCGGCCTGTGACCATTCGAGACAGAAGGCCGCCTGCCCAACAGCGGCCGCCTGTTGGTTTGGGACAACATTTGTTATTGGGTATTATACCCATTTTTCCCGTACCACCTTTCGGGCGTCCAAATAACCGTTCCAGAGCGTTCCAGAACGCCCTCAGAAGAGCATTGTGGAACGCTCTGGGAAGTCCGCGGCGCCCGAGACATCCTCCAGACCCGCCGGATCTCAGAGATTCTCAATTTATCCTTGCCGAATTTTCTCCTTTTTTGGCGTCGTCTGAGGCCAGGGGATATAGAGGGGAACCCTAACGGCGTTGCCCAGGCACTGACCCATCCGGGCCCGGCCGCGGTTGCAGCGAAGGGCGCGGCGGCGGCGGTGCAATCCCCCACGGACGCGCAGGTGGGCGAGATCAGCGTCGTGGACATTGTCCGCGCCCTCCGTTCGGAGATCACGACAGCCGTAGCGATTCAGTGGCCACTTTGACATTGCACGCGGCGGTGGAGGAATTACTACGGGGTTAGCGGCCTCCACGACCGCGACCTCTCCCGCGCGGTTCCTGCCAGGATACCATCCCCAAGTATAACGCAAAGGCCTGGCGAGCAGCGCAAGCAGCAGCGATCGTTGAACGGGATGCGTATGCGTGTTCATCGTCATGCCCCCCGTCGTGCACAGCCCGGTGGAGTCGTTCGCCGTCCTCCACATCGTGTTCGACTATGTGCTCTTGTTCGCCGTGTGGGTCAGGTTTGTGTGAGTTGGTTTGATGCATGAATCCGTTGTTGGTCTTATTTTGCAGTGCGGGACAATGACAATAAACACCCCACGTTTCGACAGGGTTCCCTTGGTTTCTTTGGCTGGCGTTCGGCGCGTAAGGCCGCCGCAATTTCGAAGAAACTGCAAATGCCAGGGTACCCTGTGTTTCTTGGGCGTCGGTCAGTTTCTGGGCGCGCGCTCGAACCTCGAAGAAACTTCAGGGTATTCGGGGTACCTTGTGTTTTTCGCCAGCCGCTCGGATTGTTCGCCCCGCTCTGCCCATTCACCCGCGGGGGTTAATTAGCCGGTATGTCAAGTGGGCGCTGGCGCATGTCGGGTCGCATGCCCGAAAGTGGGTACATTTCGGGGCGCATTGCTTAATGTCAAACTGCTTGAAGCTATCCGTCAAAAAACCGCTTGGGCCAGGGTGCCCTGGGTTTTTGCGTCTGCAACCGAAGTGCAAGAAACCCAACCCTGGACCAAGAAACCTCGGCGGATTTCAGGGTGTGGTTGCTTGCGCAGGGTGTGGTTTCTTGCGGTGGGTTTCTTGTGCATCGACCCCCACTGTCTGCTACCTTTTTCTCCTTCTCCGTGTGTGTGTGTGTGCTCGACTCATGAGTTCGTTGTCGGTCTTACCTTGTACTGCCTCCTTCTCCTCCCCCCCCCCCCTCACCATGGCGTTTCCCTCCGCCCTGTGCCTGCGGGGCCCGCGATCGGGCCCCAAGGCCAGCTGACGTGGACCTGGGAGCGAGCGAGAACCGCTGCACCGCATGAGAGCGCGCAGTGGGAGCAAAGCCGAGACACGCCGTCGGGTACCTCGGACGACGGCGGCAATGGTCACACCGCGCCGACGGGTCGGGCGCCCCAGCGCCCCGCAGCCTGGGAAGCGGGGGCGCGATTGGCCGCGTGATGGGCCGACCGGATATCGAGTTCGAGCTTCTCCCCAGACGGCGCAATGCAGATTAGCGATCGTTTTGTCGTTCGTTGGTTTGCCGATCGGCGCGGGCCCTCGCCCCCCCCCATGTTTCAAGCAGGTGCGGTCTCCCCCATAATGGACGCACTGTTGCAAACAGTCGCACTAAGCAGAGGTCCGGAGCCGGACCCCCCCCCATCCCCACCCGGCCAATGTCGAAACGCCACATGAGGAAACGTTGACCACACTACGCGATCAATTTGCCAGGGTGAACTCCTCCTGGGCTGCCGCAGCCTAGCTGTGGCACGTGCAAGCGAGCTCTCAGACGGCGTCTGGCGGGAGGCCGCGTGGCCCCCCCGAAGGGCTCTGGCCGCTGAAGCCGGGAACGGCCGGAAAAGAACTGGCCGGGGGCAAGCAGGGGGACCCCGACTGTTTCCGCCAGGGGCCATGTTCGGGGGGGAGGGCTCATGGGGCAGCGGTCGGTTTTCGGGCGGTTCCGTTTTTCCCGTCGGTTCCCCAGCGCAGGGGTGCATTCCAGCGACCTGCGCCTTGCAGGGTATGTTCGGTCTACGCGGATCGCCCCGAACGGCCCAAAACCTCCACAGGGGCACTTTGAGTTGGACGCATCGACCCCTAATGGCCTACTCATCGCCGAGAGGGGCCAGACTGCCCGCCCCGCTCAACAACGTGCGGCATCCCTATCGGTGGTTTATCGCCGATCCATCGGCGACGTATCGCCGACTCAAGCTCGACGCGTCCCCCCTTTGACGTTGCCCCTCGTTCCGCCATCCGCCCTGTGGGCGGCCGCTTGTTTTCTGATGTTCATGCCGCTCCCGCCTTTTCTCCCTCCCTGCGCTTGGGAAACAAACAGTGGCATAAACATAAAAATTCTGAGGTCCGCGCGGATTGCTCGGATCAGCGCTGGACCCCCTTCCCTGCCGCGCCAGGGGCGGCGCCGGAGGCGCCGCCAGTGGGCCCCAACGCCGCTCCGAGACATCCGCGCGGACCTCCGAGTTATTCTGTCTATGTCATTGTTCTCTTCCTCCTGGCACGCCCGCGTCTGTTCGTTGCTTCCCCCGCCTCCTCTCACCGAGCTCGCTCCACTACTCGCAGAGTGCCTACTCGCAAAGTGTTTTAAAACAAACGCCCGCCTCGAGGTAATGTATCGCAAATCCCCCTCCGCGGATCCGAACCATTTGCGAGTAGTTACTTTGCGGGGAGTGGAGGGCGCTTGTCCATCCTCTGACGGATCCTCCGGCCCATCCTGGTGCGGAAAGCGGCGTCGATATGAGCCCCGACCCGCCGGCGGGTCCCTGGAGGTCTCCGCGTGCCCCTTCTGATCAAGCCGGGGGGGGGGGCGAGCAGGCAGGAGGAGGAGGAGGGGGATGAGGGGAGGAGGTGGAGGAGGAGGGGGAGGAGGAGGAGGAGGAGGAGGAGGAGGAGGAGGAGGAGGAGGGGAGGAGGAGGGGGAGGGGAAGGAGGACAAGCTAGGTGCGCTCGCGTCATATCTGACGTCCTACCCCTCCCTCCCATCCCTTACCATGGCGCTGATTTTCTCTATCCGCGGACGCGTGTCGTAGCGGACCTGTGGCTCCGCGCGCGCGTGCGTAGTGGGTGGTGGTGCACGTGCGTGCGTGCGTGCGTGTGTGCGTGGTTATCGTGGTGGTGGTGGTGGTGGTGGTGGTGGTGGTGGTGGTGGTGGTGGTGGTGGTGGTGGTGGTGGTGGTGGTGGTGGTATGGTGGTGGTGGTGGTGCTGGTGGTGGTGGTGCTGGTGGTGGTGGTGGTGGTACTGGTGCTGGTGCTGGTGGTGGTTGTGGTGGTGGTGGTGGTGGTGGTGGTGGTGGTGGTGGTGGTGGTGGTGGTGGCGGTGCGGCGCGGTGGTGGCGGGCGGATGGGCGCGCGAGAAAAAGGCCCGCGCTGGGGCGAGAACGCCATCCTGAACGACGGAGGCCAAACACCGATCCGAAAATGAGGCCCACGCTGCAGCGGGAGCACGATTCGGAACGATTCGGGAGCAGAAATGAGGCCGGCGCCTCAACGAGAGCAGCATTTTGGGAAAAAATGACGCCGGCGCATCAGCGAGAGTCGTTTCCCGGGATTTCCCGGGGATCCTGTGTGTAAAACAGTACGCGGAGGGTGCGCGGCCATCACCTGGACGCCATCAGGGGAAGAGGGAGAGTATTTTCATATTGAGTAGTTGTGGAGGGGGAGGAGGAGGGGGAGGGAGGAGGAGGAGGGGAGGGGGAGGAGGAGGAGGAGGGGGAGGGGGAGGAGGAGGAGGAGAGAACCAGGGTAAACCCAACGTGTCCCTCGGAGGAGGGCCGTTCGAGACTGCGGCCGCCTTCCGTGCCCTCACTGGTTCATGCTGGGCCTCCTGGAGGCGTCTCCACGGAGGAGGGGCCCCCCCAAAGGGCTCCGCGGACTGATCCTGAGCGAGCTCGGACGGGCGGGAGAGCCGTCGATCTTTACGGGATGTGAAAACGATCACAGCCACTGTTTTTCTTTTGTTGCCGCCTTCCAGCCAGCAGAAAAAAGGCAGTGGTTGTGGTCATTTTCGTTAAGCTTGGCACCAGGGAAATGACCACAGCCACTGCTTTCTTTTTCGGCCGGCTGGAAGGCGGCGCGAACAAGAAGCAATGGTTGTGGTCATTGTCCCGTCCCGCAATCTTTTATTTGGTCTTTCCACAACAGGGGCGCCGAAGAAGGAGCTCTGTTCGTTGGGCCCAGTGTCCCGTAGTTGTTGTGATTGTTATCTCCGGTTCCCGATGGGACACCGTAATTTAACTAACTGAAAAGGGGGGGTCCTTGGTTAGCCCGATATGGGGATTCAGTATTTTTTCGATTCTTAGGTTGCACACAGGTCTTTGAATTTCGGTTTTTGTTGGATACCCTGATCCCAATATACTTCAAGCGCCTTCCTACTTCAATAACCGATATAATTTTGCTACGTTTTGTTCCTCTCCCAGAGTGCCTGAGCCCAAATCAACTGCATCCGATGTCCTACTTCGTGTTTCTACCTAGTTCTTCTGACCGCCTACGCCTCTCTGATTTGGGAATCCAGTTTTCTTGTAAAGTGTAGAACATTATCTAACAATACGCCTGCCGCTAGAGCTACCTACGGCGCTGCCTGGCCCGCTGGTCCACCTGGATCGCACGGCGGCCAGCCTGGAAATTGACGTGTTCCTTGTGTTCAGCACGGCTGAACCAATCCCCATCCCATTCGGGTGCATGCCGGTCGTTGGAAGTAAGTCCTTTGGTGATCCCACGATCCCAATCTCTTTTTGCCACCTTCCAGTTTGAAGAGTTGAGCGTTTTCTCCTCTCCCCTCCTCGTCAGGTGGCGGGCGGAAGCGCAATCTACTTCCAAAGCCTTCCTACCCAATGCTTCTACCTACTTTTTCCCGACCGACGGGGAAACGGTTTCTCTGCTGGCCGACATGCCCGCCCCAGGTGGGACCGATGCCGTTCCCTTCAGGCCCCGCGGCACCACCTCCTTGCCCGGAGGCGGCTGGTTGGGACGCGAACCCCGGCGCACTTGGGACCAGAATAGGACAAGCATGTCCCTGCCTATTCTGACGGGCGCTCCACAACCCGACTGTATCCAGACAGCAGAACAAATCCAAGGATGCTCAGCCCGCTACGTGTCCCTGGCCGCCTGACGCATCCCACGGGTGCCCCCCTCGTTGCTCTCCGCGCCTCCTCTGGCGCCTCGTGGTCTGAGGCGTGCACCACGCGGCAAAGGAGAGCCGGAACGTCTCGGCTTGTCCGTGCTAGCCCGCGCTGCCTGCGCACCTGCAATCTCCGCCTGCCGCAGGAGGTCAGGAACCCCCGTGTGTGCCCCTCTTCCGCGCTGTGACCCTCCACATCCCGCCCGCCTCCTGTGTTCTCGTCTTTCCCCGCCCCTAGAGGGACACGCCCGACCTAAACGTCCCTCCTGCCTCCATCCCGCACCCTCCCCATCGCCGCCTCCGCCCCGCCTCCCCTTCCCCCCCTCTCCCTGCCGTCTCCCCCCCCCGTTCCCTTCTACCCGTCCTCCTCGAGGGGGCAGGGGAGGGAGGCAGAGGAGGAGGGGAGGGGAGCACAATTGGGAGAGAGGTGGAGGAGCCCGTGGTTCCCTCCCCCCGCTCCCTGCCCCCGTCGCCCTGTTCCAGTCCGCGCCGCCCCCCCCCTCTTCTGCCCCACCCCCCCCTCGGCGGCAGACTCTTGCTCCTCCTCCCCCCCAGGCTCGAAGAAGAGCCAACGCCAGAAAAAGCAGAAACTTGTGGCGCTTCGCGCGGGTTTCTGGGATCTGCGGTGGGCCCCCCCCCCCGCCGGCGCGTCCGGCGCCGCCCTTGGCGCGCTCCGCGCGCCAGGGATGGGGGGGGGGCCAGCGCGGATCCCAGAACTCCGCGCGGAGCGCCAAAAGCTTACGTGCGTGCATGGCGTGGTTGTTGTTTCGTTTTCTTATTCTTCTTCTTGTTCTGCTTCTTCTTACTTCTGCAGACCTGCTCAAGTCGTGGGCCGACCCGGACGGGAGGCTTCTGCTCCGGACATCATGGCGGGGGCCATGGGACATCTCCACAGATTTCATGGCGCCCTTTCTTGTGTCAAGAAGTCCCCGGCCACCCCCCTGGGGCCGCGCACGTGCCGCTGGCCATGATTGGGGCCCCCCCCCCCTCTTGGACGGCCCCCCTCTGGGCCGCCCCCCGCGCGCGGAGCGAACCGAGGGCCTGGCCTGCCGGGGTCCACGGCGCGCGCCGCCGCGGGGCCCCGCACGGCGCCCCATCCCGCCGCCCCGCCCGGGCCCGCCAGGGTGGAGCGGCGCGCCGGGGTGAGCTGGGTGGCGATCGCGGACGCCGGGGGCGAGCCTTCGGCGTGGAGGGAGCGGGCCCGGGAGTCGGGCGCAGCGGTTCTGTCTTCTCGGAGGTCGCTCCACCTCCTGCCCTGGCACGTCGATTAGCGGACTGGCCGTTTTCGGTTCGCGGGAGGGCGTCGCGGCCATCATTCTTGCGGGTCCAGGTCCGTCGGTTTCGGTCCTAGGCCGCTTTCACTCAAGGGTGGTTTACTAAAGGGAGGTGTGTCCACCGCCGATTTTCAGCCCTGGCCATGTTTCCTCAGTTTCGGCGGCCCGGGTCTTCAGAAATGGACCTGTCGGGGCGAGAAAGCTACCACTGGGGGAGGGGTCGAGGCAAGCTTCTTGTGGGGCTGGAGGTTGGAAACAGGTGAACCCATCGCATGTCTGAGAGGATGTCATTGTGCAAGATGGGTCTTGGAGGTGTTTTTATGTTTTTCGAGCCTCCACGGCCCCTCCAGTGCCCCGGGGCCATTCATAAGACCGTCAGGAGAAGAATTCGGTTCAGGCCCAGTTTCCCCCAGGACGCGCTCCCCTCGTACCAAATCTGCCAGTGTTTTTGTGGGTGACGTTGACCGAGGTGTGTGCTGCTGAGGTGCCGGATCGATCGTCGTCCCTGTCGTCTTCTTTGTCTTTTCTGTCCACCATCGTCATGATCTCTTCATGTCTCCTTCTTCCCAACCATCCTGTGGTGTTGGGTCCTCGTTTTGAGGACAGCGCTCCACGCCTCACTCCTCTCCTCCCCCATCTTCTACCTCTTCCCATATCATCATCATCATCACCACCACCACCACCATCATCATCATCATCATCATTATTATCATCATCATCAGCATCATCATTATCATCATCATTAGTATAAGCATCGCCGCCACAATTGTAATTATCATCGTCGCCGTCGTCATCACAATCATCGTCATCATCGTCGCCGTCATTATCTCCATCATCATCGCCACGCATGTAGGCACACCCCTCGCACGCTTCATGGCCCCATAGGAGCCATACCGAAGGCCCCAGTGGTTCCGATCGCATGTGTCCCCGCCACATTTCGGCACACCCCTCAAACGCATCGTGGCCCCATATGGAAATCCACACAGATCCCAAATGGTGCCGTTCGCATGCGTCCTCGCTTCCCATTTCGTCGCACCCTTCGGACGCTTCGTTGCCCCATGATGAGCTCCACGTAAGGGCCCCAGTGGTGCCGTTCGCATGCGTCCTCACCACCCATTTCGGCACATCGTGCACACGTTGCGTGGTCGCGTAGGGAACTCTACGTAAGGCCCCAGGGGTGCCGTTTCTTTGAGTCCTTGCCAACGCCTTTGGTACACCTCTCATTCGCTTCGTGGCCTCATAGGGAGCTCCACCTACGGCCCCAGTGGTGCCGTTCGCATGCGTCCCCGCTACCCTTTTCGGCACAGCGTTCATCGTTTCGTGGCCCCATGGGGAGATCCACACAATGCCCCAATGGTGCCGTTCGCATGCGTCCCCGCCACCCATTTCGGCATACCACTCACACGATTCGTGGCACCGTCGGAAGCTCCACCTGAGGCCCCCATGGCGCATTTCCCGGTCACCTGGATTACGCCCCCTCCTCACATGCTGCGTGGCCCCAGAAGGAGCTTCACCGCAAGCGGTGACCACAACGCTGTATTCACAATTGCGTATGGTTGGGCCCTTCGCCAGAATCTGTGATGTTGTCCCTCACCTCACCTCCAGCGGGAAAGCAGTTCTTCCCTCCGTCCCTCCTCCCTTATGCTCACTATTCCTTTTTACCCCTTCTGCTCCTCCCAGTCGCCGTCGGCGTTCAAGACCACATAACCAACCATCAAGGAAGTGTTCCGTACAGACCGACTCTTGCCCATTTGCTCGCGCAGGCCAGGGTGGGAACAGGGGGCGCGAAATGATGGCATTATGCAGTTCATTCGTATCCCGCCTCGCAGCGACTAATAATACTGTTGCTTTGCAACCGTGTGGCCGCCAGTTCGAACTAGTGGTTGGATAAGATCAGTCCGGAATTGCCAGGATAGGGCGCGTTAGTGCTTACGGGTGCACACACATTGGCTGGACCATAACCAACACAGACATTTTATTTGAGTGACAATGAGGGAGTGCAAGCCGGAGGGGGGAAAGGCTAATGGATATCCAACTTATGTTGAGTAACATTTTTTTGCGGCACGACACATTGCACCAACGCGCTCAGACACATTTGCAGACCGCCAAGGATTACGCATGGAAGGGCCGCAGGAACACGACAGGCCAATCAAGAGTTTGGCTTTGCCGTTCTTGCTACCTACCTCCCACCGGCCGTTTCTGCAACAACGGACGCATGTTACATAGGATTCTCGAGTTGGTGGAAGGGTGTTGTGACAGGGTGGCCTGCAGGTCAACGAACATCGTCGGAGGCGGCATCAACCGTCAGGTAGGACTTCACCGTTGAAGATGGGGGAACCGAGAAACGCATATCACCACGATCTGGCCCCGGGCGAAAGAAGTAGAACACGACAGTGGTAGGGCGGTTTTGAGGCCGGGGGATTGTTGCGGCCCTCTCCGTTTCGAGCGTGTTTTTGTGATTTGTGGACGGTCTGCCTTCGTTATCTTTTTCGTGAACTTCATCTTCTTGCACTGCCAATTCCTGGCAAGCTCTGCAGGGCCCTGCTAAGTGTTGGTACGCCCTGTTGGGCCGTGCTAAACTTTCGGAGATCAGCGATGCCCCTGTAAGACCTGTACAGCGCGGCTAAGCTTGGCAAGCCTTGCTAAAGCCAGCTGGGCTTGGCAGACCTTGCTAAGCCTGACTGAGACTTGCTCAGCATTGGCAAGCTTTGCTAAGCTCTCGTGTTCTTGCGAAGACTTAACTCCGTCCTGCTGATCTTCGCTGAGCCCTGCTCAGTGTGCTCTTACGTGGGGGTAGTGTAGGAGTAGCAGGAGGTGGGGAAGCGAGGAGGACGAAACACATGTTTTTTCCGGTTTTCGTGTTTCGCCTCCCCCCGCCGAAGTAACTATATATTAACACACAAACGGGGATCATCCTTCCAGACTTGTGTTTCCGATTTGTTTCCGGGGGGGCAGGAGAAAAACACGACTTGGGAAGGGGGGGGCGGCGACGGACCAGGAGGAGTAAGATGATGATTTCGATGATGAGGAAGAGGAGGAGGACGAAAAGAAGGAAGAGGAGGTGGAGGAGGAGGATGAGGACAGAGAAGGAAGAGGAGAAGGAAGAGGACAATAAGGAGGAGGGCGAGGGTGAGGAAGAGGAAAAGGAAGAGGAACAAAGGGAGGAGGAGGAGGGGGAGGAGGAGGAGGAGAAGGACGCAGGGCCGAAGCAGAGGCTTCCGCCACCCAGGAAGAGGAGGCACGATAGATGGGTGGACTGAGAAGCGCTCGTGGAGTGCATCGGGTGCTGCAAGATGAGCAGCTGATCCTTCCACATATTCGGGTGGGGTGTTTTGGAAGCGGGAAGGGAGGAGTAACAAACACTCTTGTGAGAAGCCACGCCAGGTAGTTGTGACCACAAGCTTGGGGTTTTGGGGGATGCAGCGCGAACGGCGATGCAGAATGCCTTCCCGAATAAGATACTTGTCCTGAGCTAGCCGCCTCAGTTTTGAGAAACACACTCCACGAACTTTCCGCATCAGTATGACGGTATCTGATTGGATTTGGTTGAAACGTCTGTGGCCCTTAAACATTAAACAAGCTGCGGGAAAAAAGGCGAAGAGAGCGAAGGGGGGGGTAGCAACCGGGCAAGGTAAACGAAGCAACGAGCCCCCGCGAAACGCACCGACTCAGGATTGAATGCCTGAGACAGGATTAGCGACCGAATGCGCGAGTGTAACAACCACGCGAGCGTGGGCTAACAGCAACAGACGCTACTCTGGAATAGTATGTGGAGGACCATAGGGGTCACCGGAGGACAAGCTTCAGCGTCCGAAGGAAATGGACATCATGTCAGCAGAGTCAAGGACAAGGAAAGCGTGCTGAAGAACTCGAGGGCTCTTGCGGAAAGTAGGGCCTACTCGCAGTGTGGAGCGCCGGTAAAGCTAATGTGGATGACGTTTGGCCCGACGGCAAATCAGGAACACCCAGAATCTTCGGGAAGGCAAGCCGGGGAATCCGAAGGTCACTCCAGCAGGTGGGGACAAAAGGAAGATATCAGTTCTTCACACACGGTTCGATTGTCAAGTCTACGAAACAAGGGGTCTAGTACAGAAAATGAGATGCGCGGGCGGGACGAATCTTTGGCGCGCGAGAGGGGGCCAACGATGGGGAACCACCAGCGGCCTGCGATGCATCACCGCAGCATGTGAGAATTTCTGCTGGTGCGGAGCTGAGGACAACGCAGGTCTCGAGTTCAGAAAGGATTGTTTGCTTTTCGGACTGGAGTGAGCGACGTTCCCAATGAGACAGCAGCACGTACCCCTCGGGATTGGTTGGCGCAGCTCACTATCGCTGGCAGCGGGGAAGCACGATGGGGCAAAGGGGACTTGCAAGGAAGAGGGTCGTCTATGCGTGCTGTTCGATGGGAATGGCGTGGGACAGGGCGCGCGCCCTACAGGGCAGGCCCAGAGGCGCCCGTGCTGCGCGCAGGGGGGGGGGGGTGAAGAAACGATGCAGGGGAATTCGCAGTGGTTGCGATTGCGCCAGCGCGCAACGGTTGCGATGCGCAGTGTCTGCGATACGCCTGTGCAACGAGGCCGCGTTGGACCGCCGCGCCGCTGGCGGCATCTGCGGAGACCATGCGTTTTGCCGTGGAATTACACGGCTGCGAGCATGGAGTCCGCCGACGGTTGGGGACATGCGCATTCGACGCAGGGGGGCTCGCCGGGTGAACCTCGCGCCCGAAACAGTTTAGTGGCGCGCGCAACATTCGCGCCACCAATGGAGGAGATCGCAGACATATTACATATATTACATATATAGAGAGAGATATCAGAGGAGAGAGATAACAAACAAAAGAGAAAGAGAGGGGAACAGGGTATATATATATATTGATATAGAGAGAGAGGAGAGAGAGAGAGAGAGAGAGAGAGAGAGAGAGAGAGAGAGAGAGAAAAAAAGAGAGATAGAGAGACATAGAGCGATATAGATTGAGAGAGAGGGAGAGAGAGAGAGAGAGAGAGAGAGAGAAATGGAGAGAGAGAGAGAGAGAGAGAGACCAGAAACGATAAGAGAAGAAAAGATAATATAAGATACGAGACGAGAATAGAGAACAGAGAACAGAGAACAGAGAAGATAAGATAAGAGAAGAGAAGATATGAGAAGAAGAGAGAAGTTCAGAGAAGAGAAGAGAAGCGACATAAAGAGAGAGAGAGAGAGAGAGACATATATAAATATATATATATAGAGAGAGAGAAACAACAAAGAGATAGAGAGAGAGAGAGAGAGAGAGATCCGAGGGCCTAACGTAGCGCGACGCAGAACATCCGATTCCAGGGGAAGGATGAGCCTTGGCAGCCAACGAGCTCACGGGCGACAATGTTCGCGCGATTGCGATTCGGCTGGGGAGACTCACCAATGCATCGCACGCTGGCATATTGACCCGCCCGAGCGATTCGAAAACGAATCTGCGAAAGGAGGATGGACGGCGGGGGCAGCCCCGCGAGGGGCGCGAGCAGAGCGGCCTCGCGCGCTGGGTGGGAAGGGGGCGGGGGGGGGGGGGCTGGAGAGGATGCGAAGCGGTTAGACAGGTTCGGCGACCTGCGCGGGATCTTTTGCGACTGGCCCACGCCCCACCGGCCGCAACAATATGCAGGAGGGAGTAGGAAGAGGAGGATGAGGAAGAGGAGGGGGAGGAGCTTCCCACGCTCAACTTGCAATGGCAGTGGCGGTAGACAACTTGCTCATCTTTCTGGGGATCTGGGAAAGCAGACCAGGCGGGGGCAACGCGTTCCATTGCGGGGCGCGCGCGCAGGGGGCAGGGGCGAGGTGGGCAGGCGGCGTCGAATGCGCGCGGCAGATGCGCGTTTGCGCTGGGGGGGGGGGGGGGCCGGCGAACGGCGGCCGAGGGTGAGACGTGCCGGGCGAAAGACGACGAGGATCGGAAATGGCCCAGCTCCCATGAATGCAGGGGGCGGGGCCCGGCACGACTGGCAGTCGCGTTAAGAACGCGACGAGTGCGGCTGCGCGGGCGATGGGCGGGCGGCCCCGCGGGCGATTGTCGCGGAGGCGCGCTGGCAGCATCATTCGGGGCATACAACGGACGGAATGGGAACGTGGAGCGAAATCTTTCGTGCGATGGGGGGGCGGGGGCGGCCGGGGGGGCGGGGGGGCTGGCGGGCGCTTTTCAAACCAAAATTTCGCCTCCGGGGGGCAGCGTCGGAGCCGTGGGCGAGGCAGGTCCTGGAGGAATTCGCCGGGCATGATGGCTGAAGGCGGGCGAGGGCGCGGAATCCTGGCTCGGAGAACGCAGCCCCGACGTCGCGCGAAGTTCTCGGCCGTTCATAGGCGGGCACCAGAATGCCGCAGAGCGCGGCGCGCACCGCGGCGCAGAATCCGTCGGCGCAGTGGAGGAGGAGGGCGCGCATCAATTGAGCGTCGCAACACAACGCGGCCGCCTGCGTCGACATTTGGCGCGCGCGTTGCCCGCGCAAGGTCGCGCGCGAGCGCCCTCGGTTCCCGCGCGGCGCGCGGCGCCAGCGGCCGACGTGCGCCGCGGCGCAAGATCGCTGTCATCTCGCGCGAGACCGACCCCCTTCTGTTCGACGCGCGCGCGCGCGTTCGCGGCGCGGCGGGGCGACGGTGGATGGAAGGATGCGCCGGCGGGGGAAAGGGGCGGCGGCGGCCTTGGCGGCTTGCGGGGGGGCGGGGGCTGCGCGAAACCGCCCCTGTCATTCTGGGCCCAGTTGCGACGAGTCAGCGCCCGCGGCGCCCCGGCGAATTTGCGACGAGGAAGAGCGCCGCGGGCCGCGCTCGCAGGAGGTTCGCGGACTCTGCCGCGAGGAACGCAGCTGCCCGGGGCGCCGTCGGCAGGAGCTTCAGCGTCGACGCGCGCAGCTTGCCGCCGCAAGGCGCAAGGCCACAGGACTCACGCAATCTAGTTGTCGCCCGCGACGGCGCCATCCAGGGCCCGGGGGGGCAGCGCGCGCAGGGGGGGGGGATTTGCAGATCGAATAGGCTCGGGGCGGCGGCCAACCACGGGATCCAGGAGATAATGACAGCCAAAGACAAACGCGCGCGCGGCGAAGGGGGGGGGCAGGGGCGGGCGCCTTTCGCGCGGCGCTGGGCAGCGGGGGCGACGGAAACAAAGGAGGCAGAGGGCGACGTCGACAGTGACCGCCATGTACCACGGCAGCGATCAACAGCGATTAAACCTTTGCAATGGAAAGCGCGAGCGAGTTCACCGACCGCGCGCGCTTCCCGGCTGGTCGAGGCCGAGGCCGAGACCGTCAGGGGGGCGCCGGGCGGCGGGCCGCGCGGGGCGACGGGCCCAGGGGCAGGGGGGGCCGGATCGCGCCAGTCTCCAGCATGCGCGGGCGGTGATTTCCCCAGAGGAGGGCCAGCAGGGCCTCTCGGAGATGCCGGCGGAGAGAGGGCCGGGAGAGGGAATGGGGCGGGCGAAAGAAGCGCGGGCATCTCGAACGTTGCCCATCACCGCCGGCACGGGTGGCCCGACGACCGTTGCAGCGAGCGCCTGCGTGCGCAAGGCGACATAGCAAAATCAGCCGCGTGAGAAGATGGCGGCTTATGTGGCGCGAGCAAAACGGAGAGAAGTGGCCGATCTCGCGCCGCGGCTCAGAGTCGCGACGGCCGCCGTAGAAACGGAAGACGAGGAGATGGGGAAGGCGGGCGCGCGCATGTCGGAACCGCGCCCAGCGCGCACCTGGCGCCATCCTAGGCAAGACTGGGGCGAAGAAATTAGCAGGGGCATGGTCGCGTAGAGCTGGGGGGGGGGCAGGCGGCGCCGGCAGCGCGCGTCGACCAAGAAGAAGTTAGCGACAGTTCAAGAATGAGCGAGTGCCAGGGCAGCGAAAGAGCTCGCCAGGGCACAGCGCTGGCCAGCGCCATTACAGCAGGGCCGACCGACGCAGCCGACGCAGCCCAGTCGGCCGCCCAGAACCGGGGCTCCACTCCAGCGATGTATACTATGGGCGGGGACATTGCGGACGAGATCAGCGGGGGCCCCGAGAGGTTGGAGATGCTCAGCAGGCGATCGCAAGCAGCACAAAGAGAAGGCATCTAGATCTCGCAGAAGGTCTCGAGCAGAAAATGACGATTGCCAGAAGTCAAATGCGCGGGAAAGGAAGCCCACAAGACCGCGTCAATCCCAACGCCCCTGACACTGCCAAAATCATGAACGACCTCGCGAGAAGGACAGGCTGTGCGAGCTCGCCCGCAGCTCGCGCCCAGGACATTGAGATTGATCGAATTTGTTTCCTGACGACGGCAGTCTCACATATCTAGACCAACATATCAGTTTCGACAATCACACGGAGACAGAAGGCCACCATCGCACAATATTTACATGGGGACCGCTCAATTCTCAAAAGCAAGACCTGGCCAATAAACATTCCCCACGCATGCCGACCCAGGCTTTTCAGCAGCACGTGCACACCGACCACGCTGCGCGGAACAGGGCGCGGATAGTCACGGAACCATTGTGGCAGCATTTCCGGCGACAGGGCGCTCCCACAACAGACAGCAGCGGCATCCAGGGCACGACGGGCGTCGACGGTACGGACAACGACGCGCCGGACAGAGACTCAAAGACGATTCGCGCGATAATTGCAGGAACGACGACGCAGACAGCAATCTTCCGCAACACGGCACAGCGTCGACACCGACGCGCCGCAGTGATGGAACCGACGACAACAACGACCTGGACCCCGGGGACTCTTTCGTCGAATGCATTCAACGTGCCACGCGACGCGCAGAGCAACTCAGGAAGTTCCACCACGTGGACTGCTGAGAGACGGCACGCAAACAAGAAGGCGTGGAAAATGGCAGCAAAAGTGACCAACCACGTGCCAACCATGTGGAAATGGAGGGCTCTTCAGCCAGGCGCCCAACGGGGGCCAGCACGCGCGCTGGGACGATGACGCGCTCGCACACCTACGCCAGCGCAGGTCAGACCACCACCGAGCCCCTGCTACACGCGACAGGGGGCAGCCAAATGACATCACGTTGACTCGTGCGGCATCACATGGCCAACTCTCGAGCACCACTGCACAAACACGTGCGACGAACATCACTCCGACATCGGCGTCAAGGACGTTTGCCCTCCCGCCCTCCCTCCCTTTCCTTCCCACACAGACGCGCACAAACATGCTGTGCTGTGCTCCGCGCCGACGCCGACTCCAAGGACCTCCCCCCCTCCATTTCCCTACTGTTTGTTATGCGTATCGTTGTGCATGTTGTTCAAACACATCAGATTCCTTAGGCCACGGTTTCGCCCACCTCGTCTTCGCTAAGCCCAGACGGTGTCCGCAGCGGCGTTCGGTCGTTCAATCTTTCGTTCGTTCGTTCCTCTTCCGCTTCTCCTCCTCTCCCTTTCCTTTACCCCCCCCTCCTCTCCTCCACCCCCCTCTTTCCTCCTCGCCCAATTCTCCCTCCCCCGTCCTTTCCCCTCCCCTCCCTCCGTTATCTCCCCCACCTCGCGCCCGCGCGCCCCCGCCCGCGCCAGGGGAGGGGGGAAAAACTTTTCGACGACGACGACGACGACGACGACATCCGGCGGCGGCGGCGACGGCGACGACCATCGGCAGCCGCCCCGCCTGAGAGGAGGCGGCGGCCCCCGTTGCCCCGGCGCCCGCGCTGGGCGGCCTGGCCAGTGCGCTCGCGCAGGAACGGGGGGGGGGGGCCTACGAGGGTGGAGGAGTAATTTTTCGAGGAGGAGGGGCTTCAATGTGTTGCTCTTTTTTTGGAGTTTGTTCCAGGTTGTCGCGCGTTTTGAAAGTGTGTTTGCGTCGGGATGCCTTCCAGCAGCTCCGCGTCGTGGAGAGCGTTCGGGGTGTTCCCAGAGCGCCCCGATAGGTTGCCGCATGCCCGATTTATCAGCCGAAAACCATCACGAGGAGGATCGATTACGGAGAAGGACGGAGGAGAACGGAGCCCGACTTCTCGTAGCGAAAAATCGCACACACACACACACACACACTTTTCGATGTTGTTTTGCTGGTCCTCGGCCTTCGTGGGACCGTTAAACAAAGAGTCAGGACCAGGCACTGCTCCCCCACGACGTGGTGTTTTTTTGGGGGGGGATCGAAAATATAGTTTTGGGAACTCTGATGCTCTGGGACCTCGGCTGTAGACCGCGGCAGGGCGGTTTGGTAAAAGACCTCGCGCCCCGCCGGTGGTACGTGTCCGCTCCGCGCGAGGCGGTGCTGGCATGCCGCGGTCGGCGCCGCGCAGACGAGAAGGCGGAGGAGGGCGGAGGACGGGGCGCAGAGGACAGAAGAGGAGGAGGAGGAGGACCAGTGTCAGCCCAAGACTCATCATCGATGCTCAACTACACTTCCCTCCAAGATCCCTCTTCATATGTTCATAACAGGGGGTCATCTCCACTGAGGGAAATGCCCGGCTGGGGGACAACCGTGCGATCACTTTGAAACGTGTCAAAACACTATGTCCATGACACCGCCACGAGTTACCCTGACGGTTACGCCTTCGCGATACTGACACGTGCCAGAACACCACCACTGGGAGTTCATCACCTCGAATCAACGTATCTTACGCGCCCTGAAAAACCCCAAGCGAAGTTTCTAGTACGTTTAACCATGCGGACGATTGAAACCCTTCCGCATGTTTCACTCAAGTGTGCGCGGCGCGTAGACGGGAGCCACAGTTTGAAACGGAACCGTTCTCAACCCTTGCAGTTTTGGAGAGTTGCTTGAAATAGTGAGCTCGGCGCTAATGCGAGAGCCACATTTTGAACAACGAGACGAACTCAATCCGTGACCTCGCAATTTGCGTAAGCGAATGTGCGCGGCGCTGAGGCGACAGCGACGCGAGGGCGAGAACACTATTTTGATAACGGGCCGCCTTCAATCCGTGAAACTTTCGATAATTTGGAATTGAAATGCGCGCGACGCTAAGGCGAGAACCACATTCTGAAACTCGCCCGCCCTCAATCCGTTTCACTGTTGCAAAGGTTAAGGCGAATTAGCGAAAGCCACAGTTTGAAACTTACCCGCCTTCAATACATGAGGCCACATTTTGAAAACGACCATCCATCAATCCCCGAAACTTGTACAATGTGCTTTAGTGAATGAGTGCAGCGCTGAACCGAGAGCCACTTTTTGAAAACGACTCGCCCCCAATATGTGAACCGTTGTCAGATGTTACGCATCATGAGCATGATTAGCGAGCGGGTTTCGGACGAAGCGCCCAGCCCTCCCTTTCCACCAGCCGCGGGGTGCGATTAGGAGGAGTTATAGATAAGGAGAAACAAGGAGGAGGAGCAGGAGGAGGAGAAAGATGAAGAGGAGAAGGAGAAGGAGGGGGAGAGGTTGAGGCTTACTCCTTCTCCTCCTCCTCCTCCTCCTCCTGCTCCTCCCCCTCCTCGTTCTCTTCCCCCTCCTCCCCCTCCTCCTCCTCGGAGCGAGGAGGACGGAGGACGGAGGACGGAGGAGGGGTTGGGAGGGAGCGACGAGGATTTTGAGGAGGGGGGACGGTTGCTCCTTGTCGGCGGGCGACTTGCGTGCACGCCACCGCGTCGGAGTCTCTCGAGGCGTCTGCGTTGTTCGCCCCGAGAGTGCCTTGTCTCTGCTCTTCGACCCTCGGGGCGTACAGTCAAGATGATGAAACAAGGAACATTCCGCATGCTGCAATGAGGCCCTGCTCCTCCTCCTCATCCGCCTCCTCCTCCGCCGCCTCCGCCTCCGCCTCCTTCGCCTCCTCCTCCTCCTCCTCCTCCTCCTCCTTCGCCTCCTCCTCCTCTTCCTCCTCCTCCCCCTCCTCATCCTCATCCTCATCCTCGTCCTCCTCCTCTTCCTCCCCCTCCTCCCTCCTCCACCGCCTCCTCCTCCCTCGCCTCCTCCTCCTCCTCCTCCTCTTCCTCC